CCTCACTCCAGAAGGAATGGCTGCTATCAAGAAATCAACCAACAATAAAAGCTGGCAGGTCTGTGAGGAGAAAGGAACCCTTCTCCATGTTGGTTGCTTTGTTGTGAACTGTGACCATTTCTTGCTTGCTTCATTTGTGTTGAGGATTCACTATCAATACTTTTTTGTTGTTGTTAGATTTTTTTTGAGTCAGGTTCTTGCTATGCAGTCCAGGCTAGCACTCACTATGTAGCACAGGCTGACCTTGAACTCACAGATCTTCCTGCCTCAGCCTCCAGAGTGCTGGGATTACAGGCGTGAGCCCTCACGTCCAGCTGATAAAAGAATTTTTAGATATTAGAAATCCTTCTGTAACAATTTCTTAGCCTACCTGAAAATAATTCCATGCCTGTCTATAGCAGAATTTCTTTTCACCTACACTGGACAAAACGGAATACAATAGTTCTGTTTGTGCTGGATTCCAGTTGTCACAGCTATTATTTGGAAAACACCATTATGTGGTGTTTGCAGGTCTTCCGTGCTTTTTCGGGGCAGCGTATTTCACACACTCTGCTTCCAGGGGTTTTCAAGTCACCGCTAAACTAATGGCGAACGCAGGTGGACGCCGTGCTCTGTAGGCGGTGAGGATGGAAGCTACGCACATGGACAGCAGTGCTACCGGCAACAACGGCAGCTTCGCTAATTCCTAAGACTCAGCAAGAGCGAGGTGGGAACGCTTTAAACAACACAGCGAGAACAGCGATCTCAGTGCACCACAGAGCCACCACATTTAAAACAGGCATGAGAGCACTGGAGAAATCCCACTTATACTTCTGAGGACAACTTGTAATTATCCTCTGTAAATTGTTTTGCTTTGTTTTGTGTCTTGTTTTTTTGAGACAGGGTCTCACTATGTAGTCCAGGTGGCCTTGAACTCAGTGTAGCCCAGGCCATACTCCTGCCTCAGCCTCCCGAGTGCTGGGATTACAGGTGTGTGCCACCATATCCAGCTTGTTTTGTGTTTTGGTTTTGCTATGTGGTCCAGGCTGACCTTGAACTTGTGGAAATCCTCCTGTCTCAGTCCCTCAAGTGCTGAGATCACAGGTGTGCAGCTGCATGCCCAGCTCACAAGTTAGCATCCTGCAAGAATTAGCTGCTGCCTTGCTCTCCAGTGTGGACGATGGGCTTTCCATCATTTCAGGTTGGAGGAGATGCTGAGAGGTATGTGATCGAGAACAGCAGGGAGACTGCGTGTCCTGCGAGCAGAGCAGAACGACTTGGTGACTTGGTTTCCTTCTCCTCCTCCGAGTTCTGAGGCAAGGGTGGTCCTGGAGCGACTGCCATGCAGCTCTGCTCCGGGGTCTGGTTCTGGCCAGTCCTGCACAGGCTGGCACTCACCCGGGTTTGTGCTTTGTCCACAGGGGAGCGACACACAGGGGCTCCTCCATTCCTAGTGCCACACGCACAGCAGGACTCCGGCCAGCACAGGAAGCAGGTTGCCCAGCAGCAACCAGAGCGTGACCACCAGGCTGGAGGAGCAGGAGCAGAGATCTAGGATGGAAAAGAGCAGAGTGACCGTCGGCTCACGCTCCCATGATGAAATCCAGTGGCCACACCCTGCCAGGAGACGAAGGGACGGGACCGACGGGTGACTCACTGAAACCCAGGTCTGGAAGTTTTTTACATTATAGAAACAATGTACACGGAGGAAGAAGAGATGCACCATCCGTGTCGCGGTTACAAAATAGCACCCGTGTAAAAAAGACGTGCCTTCGGGTGAAATCCAGGGAAGCTATGGATGACAGCAGAGACACAACTGAGATGGCATCCTGACGAGGAAGCAGGTGCCCTCTGCTTTTATTCCTCCTGTCCCTGGTATGTAGGATGCCCACAGAGCTTATCTCCAAACCAGTGCACTTTGAGAATACAAAGGGCAATATTAATAATTACACCAGCACAAGAAGCACAAGGACTGTTTCGACAAACCAGGATATATGGTTCCTTATTTCTAAATACACACCTGCCAGATGTGATGGTGCACACTTGTAATTCCAGCACGTAGGAGGCTGAGGCAGGAAGATTTCCACGAGTGTGAGTCCAGCCTCACATAGCAGGACCCTGTCTCAAAAAATCCAAACAAGGGGCTAGGGATTTAACTCAGTGGTGCTGCACCTGCCTCACAAGTACAAGGTCCTGAGTTCGATCCCTGGTACGGGGATGGGAGGATCCAAATAAATACCCATCATCTGTATCATCCAAAGTGCGATTGGAAAACAGTGGAAGATCTCATGGGCTTTGGGTATGAAGAGGATATTTTAATTCAGCCATGAGCTGTTTTCATGGATAAACTACTTTCCTAAAATTTTCTAATAGAAATACTGTTTTTTTTTTAAGGGTCTTGCGATATAGTCCAGGCTGGTGTTGAACTCACAGCAATCCTCCTGCCTCAGCCTCCTGAGTGCTGGGATTATAACTGTGGACCATCATGTCCAGCTGGAAATACTTTTTTAGCACTTGAGTAAAGGCCAACTTGGCCTTATATTAGATGAGTTGTCCTTTTAATCATGAACAGTGAAGACCTTAGGTGGGGAACTGCAAGTTGTCACCAGCACATCCATAATTCCAGTGGGGATAAGAAGCTGAAATTAAAAATTGTGGATTGTGTGGGTGGGTAGGAGAACTATGAGTTACATAGCAGTTCTTTTTTTTTGGTACTGGGGATCAAACTTGGGCCCTTGAGCTTGTGAGACAAGTGGCAGAACCACTGAGCCAAATCCCCAGCCCTTCATTTTTGTTTTTTGAGACAGAGTCTCATTACGTAGCTCAAGCTGGCCTCAAACTTAGTGACCTTCCTGCCTTAGCCTCTCGAGTGGCACAGTTATTCTTGGTTGAGGGGGTAACAACATATTAAATTGCTTAAATCACTATTTATTGACTTTGGTGGGCTTGGTGGTGCACGCCTGTAATCCTAGCACTCAGAAGGCTGAGGCAGGAGGATGGCCTTCAGTTTGAGGCCAGCTTGGGCTACATAGTGAGTTCAAGGCCAGTCTGAAGTACACAATGAGACCCTGTCTCAAAAAAACAACAACAAAAAAATTATTGACTTTGCCAGGCACGGTGGGACACGCCTGTAACTGCAGCACTGGGAAGGCTGAAGCAGGAAGATCACTGCAAGTGTGAGGCCAGCCTGAACTACACAGTAAGACCCTGTCTCAAAAAACAAACAACAAAAAAAAGAGCTGCCAAGTAACTCATAATTCTCCTATCAAGAAATATGTTTAAAGTATCAAGTAGTTTTACAATTTGACAGGTAATAAAAACAGGTATTATAAACAATTTACCTAAAAGAGCACAAGTAAATTCTGTTATAGTCCCTGGTGCATATAAGAAAGGAAGGGCTGGGGATTTAGCTCAGTGGTTCCACCACCTGAGTCAAGGGCCTGAGTTCAATCCCCGGTACTAAAAACAAGAAGACAAACAGACAAACAAACAAAAAAACAAATAAACAAAAAAAACAAACAAAGCCTATTAGGTGGAGACAATATGAAATAAAAGCCAGCTGCTGAGGGACTTGGTGGTTTGCAGTCCCCACTGCTCCGACAGATTCCCCTGTCCTAGAGCTCCCGGGCAGGAACCCGAGTCCCTTGGGGTCTCGCTTCTCCTCCTCCTCCTGCCCTCCTGAGTCTCGCCCCCAACTCTCCCAATGGCCCGAATCCCTGCTTATCTCTGACAGTGAGACTCTGACTCTTCTTTTTCCTTTCTTCTCTTTTTTGCAGTACTTAGGATTGAACCTAAGTAAGCACTCTACTAAGCTGAGCTACATCCATAGCAATATTTTTTTTTTTTGAGAGACAGGGCCTTGCTTTGTATTTCGGGCTAGTTTTTAAACTCACTGTGTAGCCCAGGCTACCCTCAAACTTGTGGTGATCCTCCTACCTCAACCTCCCGAGCGCTGGGGTCACAGGCATAGGCACCACTTTATTTCTGTTTCGAGATAGGGATCACTAAATTGCCTAAACTGGTTCAACCTCATGGGCGCCTCCTGCCAAGGAGCTGTGTAAAGGCAGGCAGGGCGCGGCTAAAGCTGGCGGGGAAGGAAGTGAGACAAGACTCCCAGACAGGCGCAGAGCAGTCCCAAGGCTCTGCGTGTGGATGTCTCGGGAAGACCAGAGCAGGCTTTCCACAGGATGGCCGAGACCTGCTGCAAGCCTGGGGAGGGGTGACACAGAAAGGGCAGTCAGGGCGAGTGTTCGCCACTGTGTTTCCTCTTGCACCGTGGCCCACCCATCCTTGCACTGTAGCGTGCACTTTTTTTTTTTTTGGGTACCGGGGAATGAACTCAGGTTCTTGCACTTGCGAAGCAGGCAGTAGCACCACTGAGCTACATCCCTGGCCCTGTCTTTTTCTATTTTTACTTGGCCCAAATGCTCTGCAGAGCCTGGTTTTTTTCCTGCCTTTAATAAAACTTTGCTACCATTTGAACTCTTGACCAATTCTCTGCTCAGTAGACCAGAAGGAGACACCAGCACCCCAAAATCCACTATCAGCTGAAATACAGGCATGCACCAGCTAGCTCGGAGCTTCTTACAGTTCAGTGTGGGACTAGTCTAAGGGTGGGAGCTCTACAGAACTATTTATGCACCAGCAGCCTTCCAATTCTAACCAACTCAATTTAGTAACAGCATTGTCTTCCTTCTAGTTCTACATCTGAAGTTATCTGGGCATATTCAACATCATGTTTATTACATAACATCCCGAAGGACCTATGAGTCTGTTATTTCAAAGAGCTGTTATAACTGCAGAAAACCCAGCGAGTGAAGTGGTGTGCAGGAAACAGTCTGAACACAGCAGGCCTGAGACTGCTACTCCAGAAGTTCTTGCTAAGCTGGGCCTGCGCCCCTTTCCCTCTCACACGCCTACGCCCCGACAAGGCTGTGGACGACACCCCCAAGCACTGATCTCCCCAAACTCCCGCTCTGCGGATCCCCTGGGGACAGAGCCCCCAGGACTTGGGAAAGAAAGGAATCTAATCTCAGAGGTGGAGAGACTTTCACTTTAAACAGCGTGTAGTTGGCTATTTTCAATCAAGCCCCGGAACAGGCAAAGGACGGTGCAGTTTCATTTTATAAATACAACATTTATAAATTCTGGTGAGAAAATACAACATTGCGTAAGCTTTTCATTTTTCCTGTGTTACATGCTGATCGGCCACTCTCACAGTCCCTGAAATCAGTTTTAGTCGGGAATTCATGAGTCCCGCCAGGGGCCTCAGTCTGAACACCGAGGACAAGGACGAGGGCCTCTCCCCCGCTGGCCCTTTGCCGTCTCCTCCAGGAGGACAGAACCTGCCTGCTCCAGGGTTTTCCCTCAGCTGCGCCTCACTTGCTTATGAGGCAATGGAAGTTATTTGCTTTTTGATTTAATGAGCAGAATCTTGCTTACTCTTAATTCCAACACGAATGGAAGAATCATTTACTTGCGACCTTCCCTGGGATATTCGTGCAGGTCAGGCCCCTGCGCACAGCAAGTCTGCTCAAGTCTGCTTTCGCTGAATACACGCGCCACGCTCGCCTGCCTTCCGTTTCATGTCTGTCTTTCTTCCTGAGACACAGAAGCCCACTGTGCGGTGACCCTCCTGCCTCGGCCTGTCTAGTGTGGGCTGAGAGCTGTGCACCGCCGAGATCAGCGTGGATTTCCAATGGTGGGAAGCGGGTCCTCCCACAGGACAAAACCCCACTTGCTGCACAGCTCCGCCAGAGCCAATGTCCCTGTCACCTCCCGCCCTTCGGGACCGAACCCAGCACTCACCAAGGGGCAGCGCCCGGGTGAGGTTGGCAGCTGGAGGGTCTGTTTCCGGAGGGCACTGCTCACAGAAGTCCCAGCAGGACGGGCAAAGCAGGTTCCCGCCGTGGATCCAGCCGTTCATCTGAATGCTGACGGGAAGGACCTGCCCGGCCCGGCTGCACAGGTACGCGGTGTCCTGCACCCAGACCTTCAGACCTTGAGGAGAACAAGAGATCTTCAAACAGAGGGGAAAAGAAATCAAGTCAGTAAGACTCTAGGCTGTGAGATTTCCCCTTCACTCTAAGAAAATATGTTGAAACTTACTAAAAACATTGGCTATAAAGCACAATTTGAGATGTGGGCATTTCTTAACACACAAAGTGGGTTAAGCTACTTAGGTCCTAACAAAATTTCACTTTTCACTCTAAGAGTTCTTTATTTTGCGGTTGGGTTTTCTTTTCTTTTCTTTTTTTTTTTTTGAGGGCCTCACTATATAGTCCAGGTTGGTCTTGAACTATGTAATCCAGGATGGCCTCAAACTGACAGTGATCCTCCTGCCTCAGCCTCCCAAGTGGTGGGATTATAGGCGTGAGCCATCCAACACCGAGCCTAGCAGTTTGCATTCAGACTGCTGAAGCCAAGTTAATCAACTTTGTTAACTGAAATCCAATATTTTCCCACTTCAGTGGTCTCTGTATTAAATAACAAAGTTAAGGAAACAACATTAGGTACAGGGAAGTCTTTGTAGACGGTGTTATAAATCTGTACAAATCCTTCGTCAAAAGGTGAAAAGGACCTGAAAAAGTCACCTTCCTATTCTAGCTTCATCTTCTGTGACCTGATCTCATTTATGGAAACTTATTTCAACACAGGAAAATATGCCCCAGTACTGCATTTAAAAATAAAGTACTGTATGTCAATAAACTTTTTAAAAAAACATTTTGTTGTTGTTTTTGGTGGTGGCTGGTGGTATTGTTTTCACCACTCTGGTACTGAGGATTGACCCCAGGTCCTTGTGCATGGCTGGATATATGAGATAAAATCATTTTTTTTTGTTTTTGTTTTTTGGTACTGGGTATCGAACTCAGGACCTTGTGCTTTTGAGGCAGGTGGCGGCACCACTGAGCTAAATGCCTGGCCCCTAAAATTTTATTATTAACAAATGCGGCTTACCTGGTAGCATCCGCTCCCCCAGTCTGGGTAACTCAGCTTTCTCTCACACTTTTCCATGACAAATGCCGATTTCTGAATCAGACAAACGGAATGAGGTCCATACTTTTCAGCACCATAGTTTTTCAAAATTTCTGAAGCAAACCAGAAAAGTGACCTCAAAAACAGATTTTTAACAAAAGGAACAAGTATACAAAATAAAAACACTTCATGCTGTATAATTAACAGTTGCTTTAAAAATCAAGCTTATAGGGCCGGGGATTTAGCTCAGTGGTTCCACCACCATCTTCCTTGCAAGTGCAAGGACCCAAGTTCAATCCTGGTACCAAAACAAAAAACAAAAAAACAAAAAAAGCCAAAACCCAAAACCAAACATTAAAAAAATCAAACTTATACGGTGTGGTAGCACATGCCTATAATCCTAGCACTTGGGAGGCTGAGGCAGGAGGATCTCCATGAATTTGAGGCCAGCCTGAACTACAAAGGGAGATCCTACCTCAAGAAATAAATAAAAAAAAATTAAAGCTTACAAACTTAATAAAAAAAAAAAAAAGCTTGTTCAGCTGAGTATGGCGGTGCACACCTGTAATCCCAACACTCAGGAGGCTGAGGCAGGAGGAATGCCAGGAGTTCAAAGCTAGCCTGGGTTATATACAAGTGAGTTCAAGGCTGGCCTGAACTATATGGCAAGACTGTCTCAAAAAAAAAACCCAAATCAATAACTATAGAAATAAAATATATTTTTAAAAATCAAGCTTAATGGAAAAATTTAAATTAAAAAAATTAATACAAATAAAACTCCAAACTCAAACTGGGTTCCCAAAAACAGATCTAGGGTGAAAAATTATTATACCAGAACCAAGGGGATGAACCTGGGCCCAAAGCATCTCAGTGAGATAAACAGGACTATCTTTCCAAAAGAATTAAAAGAATCACACCACAGTGATATATGGGCACCCATGCTTATAGCGGCACAGTTTGCAGCTAAATCTTGGAAACAGCCCAAATGCCCGTCAGTTGGAGACTGGATAAAGACGATGTTGTTTTTCTATAAAATGGAATACTACTCAGTCATAAAGAATGAGAAACTAGAGTCATTCATAGGAAAATGGATGCATATTGAGGATATGCTCCTAAGTGAAATAAATAAGACACACACGTGTAAATACCGAATAGTTCCTCTGGTGTGAAAAACCAAAAGTGTAAACTGTATAACTGTACACAAACTGTATAACTGACAATGTGAAATAGGAAGAAAAGGGCTAAAGGTGTAGGGGAAGTGGGAAAGGAAAGGGTGCGGGAAAGGAAATAAGGGACAAGAAAAAATATGAGAAAAGGAAAAAATGAAACAAACTCTTTGTAAATAGGGGAGGGTGGAGGGGGTGAAGGGAGGGCTGGGGAATGGGGAAAATGAGAACCAAGACCTGTCATGTAAGATTCCAATGATGAATGTAACTGTACTGTATACTTTAAAAATACCAATAAACTCAATAAGATTTAAAAAAAATACCAGGACTAGATACTAAGAACCAGTAGATGATTGGACACCACCTTTAGGGTCTAAAAACCTAATAAAACACAACTGTATACTATGCTTTTTCAAGTCTCTGCCAAGCACTGTGATCAGGGTTCAGCTCACTCTGGCTGTGAGGCCCAACCCTGAGCCCTCATTCGTTACGCATCACATCCTCTATGACACCTGCACTCTGGAGCCCACGGAGAGGAAGTGTTTCTAAAGAGACCATAGGATGCAAGGCCCAAAACAGTTCATAATAAAATGCCAGGATCCCCCTCATTCTGCCTGAATGTGGACCTGCTGAGTAGTCATACCTTATGTCTTTAGGTCATTTATTAAATGGGTGTGTGATGAGAGAAAATGATTAGAAACTCAGTTACATTTGCCATGTTTAAGAATAACTGGGAGGAGGGACTGGGGATTTAGCTCAGTGGCACTGCGTCTGCCGCACAAGCACAAGATTCTGAGTTTGATTCCTGGTACAAAACAAAAAAAAAAAAATCAAAACATGGGAGGGGAGGTAATGATAAAAAAATTAAGATGTGTTATGTACATGCACCAATTTCCATGATGAATGTAATCATTACGTATTACAAAAATGGACTAATAAAAATTTTAAAAAGACGGGCCGGGGATTTAGCTCAGTGGTTCCGCCGCCTGCCTTGTAATAAGCACAAGGGCCCAAGTTCGATCCCTGGTACCAAAAAAAAAAAAGAAAATACAGTTAGGCCGGGCGTGGCACACGCCTGTAATCCCAGCACTCGGGAGGCTGAGGCAGGAGGATCCCTGTGAGTTTGAGACCAGCCTGGGCTGCTTAGTGAGTTCCATGTCAGTCTCAACTACATAGTGACCCTGCCTCAAAAAACCAAAACAAAACAAAAAAAAGAATAAATGGTCAAAGAAATCTATGGAAATTTAAAATTTAAATGAAATGATCTAGTCTGTGATACAGTAGGGAATAAGCTGGAGTGGGTAGGGAAGACCAGCTTTAAACATTTGAAAGGATCAAAACACTATTCCTTTTTTTTTGGTGGTGGTGGTACTAAGGATTGAACCCAGGACCTTTGCACTGAACTACAACCCTAGCCTTTTCTTCTTTTTGTTCCTATTTTTCTATTTTGAAACAGGAGCTTATTAGTCATTAAACTGCGGAGCCTGGGCTCGAACTTGTGATCGCTCTGCATCGGCCTCAGTGCGCTGGGATTAAAGGTGTGTGACACCATGCCCACTTAACTTTGCTTTTTATTAACATATCAGATCTGAGAATACTGCTGTTGACAAAGGTAATCAGTATAAGCTATGACTATCATTACAGAACACCCGGTGACCACTGCTTATTCTTTTGATGTCTTATTCAATTACACAAATCAATAAATGACATAGCGATATCTTGCCGGCCACGGGAAGACAGCAGTACCTGAGATCTGAAGACTGACATGTTATTTCTAAATGACATGAAACACACACCGCCCAGGAGAGGAAAATCTAGGTTCTCTGAGGTCTTTTAATAAAGAAGACCCGTGTGCTGGAGGGCATCGCGTTGACCCCAATCAACTGTATTTCTTAGCGTCTGGTCACTCACAGAGAAAAACGGTAATAGCTTCCATACACCGCTTAAGGTTTTGAGAAAAATCAAATGAGAAGTAATGAAAGTGCCTCCTAGATGTGAGGCGAGGCCAGGATTCCACACGTGTGCCACACCCTGGGTGTCTGCCACCCCCACACTTTCTGGCAGACGCAGCCCTAAGCGCAGACAGGAGCCCGCTGTGCAGATGGGGAGGCGGAAGGGGAGCCGGCCCAGGAGGAGCCCTTGGGGGAGCAGCCGAGCACCCAGCTCCGTGGACACCGATCTGCGATCTGCCGTGGCTCACGGTGCTCATGGGGGGCATCGAGGGTGCTAACCTGGCTGATTCTCCAGGATTCTGCAGTCCGAGCTGCGCTGATACTCGCCGCTCAGATGCCAGCTGAATTCCTGGCTGAAGGGGCAGTAGTCGGCGATCTCCACCGAGCCACCGTAGTGCGCCAGGCCTTCCGCGGGGACCCCGCCGAGCTCGTCAAAGTACTGCAGAGAAGGGAGACAGGCAGTGAGGCCCACGAACAGCTTACAGCACCTCTAATGCTGCAGGACACAGAGACTGATCCAGTGTCCCTCAGAAACTACACGACACAAAGAAGACAACGTGGCACCCGGTGGGTATGGTTCCTGGATGTTGCTATAGAAATAACCAGAGTAAGTAAATCTATGTTATCTATTAGGTTGACAAATTTGATTAATACTTTAAAAGGATGAAACAGAATTACACTGAGCAAAATGAAGAATTTTAAGTTGATATGACATAAAGCCATGCATTGAATTAAAATGCTCTAAAGATACAAAGCCAGGTGCAGTGATAATGCACCACAGCGCCAGCCACTGGGGAGGCTGAGGCAGAAAGACTGATGGAGCCCAGGAATTCAAGCACAGCCTTGGGCAACATAGTGAGACCCTGCCTCAATCAAATAAATAAATAAATACAATGAATAAATATTTTTAAGAGACTTTAATATGCTCTTTTGACAATCCTGAAAAAATGAAAACTGGGAAAACCATGAGATTACATATATAAAATACTTTGAACATCAAAGGATCAAAGTATCATTATTTATCTTCTAAAGAGCCTGCTTATTCTTTTGAAGATTTCACATTCACACCAGCTTACTGAGCTGTAATACTACACCTAGAAATGCGTTGTCAACACTGGTGTCTGTGACACTTGGTGAGGTCAGAAATGTGCAGAAGTGTGCAGTAGTTGTAAAGAAATGGAGGAATTCCTCAGCTTTTTCTAACATTGAAAACACAAATGGCCCCAGAAACTAAAAGGCTCATGAGTAGTAGGGCACAGTGGCGAATGCCTGTAATCCCAGCACTCCAAGAGGCTGAGGCAGGAGGATCACAAGATTGAGCTCAACCGGAGCAACTGAGTAACTTAATGAGACCATTTCTCAAAACAGAAAATTTTTAAAAAGCTGAGGATGTAAGGGTCCAAGTCCCCAGGCTCAATCCCTAGTATAATACACACAGACACAGAGTTTAAGAGAATTTACCCTCTTATTTCAAAATGGAAATACTTTTTTTTTTTTTTTTGGTACCAGAGATTGGACTCCTGGCCTTGAGCCTGTGAGGCAGGCGGCAGAACCACTGAGCTAAATCCCCCCGGCCCTGGAATATAGTTCTAAAAACTGATTCCAAACACTGTGCTAAGCCAGGTAGGGTAGCACATGCCTATAATCCCAGCACTCAGGTGGCTGAGGCAGGAGGATCGCTGTGAGTTTGAGACCAGCCTGGGCTCCATAGTGAGTTCCAGGTCAGTCTCAACTACATAGTGAGACCCTGTCTCAAAAAAACCAAAAACAAACAAACAAACAAACAAACAAAAAATGCCAGAACAGCCAGGGATTTAGCTGTGGCACTGTGCCTGCCTTTAAGTGCAAGGTCCTAAATTTGATCCCCAGTTACCACCACCCCCTCCAAAAAAACTGTGCTGAACAAGTATTACCTGGTACTCTGGTGGCAGAGGCTTAGGGAACTTCTGCAGATTGCACACGGCCACGGCCCTCTGGTCCTGCCTGCAGGTCAGCTGCAGCGGGCTGCTCCTGAGTGTACCACAGTAAGGGCTCAGCGCCTGCCCCCTGCACACAAAGGCACGCACCGCAGCGTCAACGCCGAGGAAAACACCACAGGCACTGTGGAGCTCATCTTTCAGCTACAACCTCAGAACGAAACCCTTGATGGTTTGTAGTGAACCGCTGAATCGGGTTCTAAAGTTCTTTCTCTTTTTGAGACAGGGTCTCAAAAGACCCAGGTTGGCCTTGAACTCGAAGTGATTCTCCTACACCAGCCTCCCAGAGTGCTGGGATTATATCTGTGCGTCACCAGCCCGGCGCAAACTCGTGATTATAACAAAAATTGCACAAATCATAATGTCATAAATGAGGGTCAGCATTCCTACGCAGCAGAAACCCTAAAAGAGGACCTACAAAATCATGATAGGGTCACTGGTGACTACAGCGGGCCAGCTGGTTCCTCCACACTATTCCCCACCATCCGGGGACAAGGCACAGTGACAGCCCCGGAAGTTAAGCACAGGCCTCTTCTAGGTTACCGGGATCTCAGGAAACTCAGGGACACAGCCAGAGGGGCCTGTGGCACCAGAGACGCCTTCATCCTGTATGGATTCTGCCCTTCAACCCTCAGGCATGGAACACGGAATGCGCAGGACGGGCTGGCATGCTCAATCCTGGCCAAGAATCCTTTTTCTTTTTTCTTTTTTCTTTTTTGAGACAGTTCTCATGTAGTCCAGGCTTACCTTGAACTCACAGCTATCCTCCTGCTTCAGCCTCTTGAGTGCTGGGATTTCAGGCGTAGGACCTGCTTTCCATGTGCTTGGTTTTTCCACAACTTTTTTCTTTTTTTCAGCACTTGGGATGGAACCCAGGGCCTCAAGTATGTTACACAAATGCTCTACCACTATTGTTACTGGAACACAGCCATACCGTTCATGACTCCAGCAGTGCAGAAGCAGAACTGGCTACTTGAAACAAATACTCTAACAACTCTCCAAACCTAAAATATTTACTAGATCTTTTGCGTTTTTACTAACAAAAGTTTGCTGACCATTGGCTTCTGACTCAAAGGACAGGAGACCAGTGGGACATGATGGTACACAGCTATAGTCCCCCAGCACTCATGAAGCTGAGGCAGGAGGATCACTAGGAGTCTGAGGCCAGGCTGCACTACACAGTGAGTTTAAGACTAACCTGAATTACATAGGGAGACCCTGTCTCTAAACACAAACAAACAAACAAACAAAACAAAAATACAAGATTGTATCAACTAAACCAGAAAAAGTATTTGAAAAAACTCACATCCATTCATAAAACTCTCAGAAAAATAGGAATAGAGGGGAACTTTCTCAATTTGATAGAGAAATGACAAAAATAGGGCTGTGGATTTAGTGCGGTGGTGCTGCTGCCTACCTCGCAAGTTAGATCCCCAGTACCAAAAAAAAAAAAGCAAAACAAACAAACAAACAAAAAAAAAACCCAAAACAAAACAAAACAAAAACTCGACAAAAGTAATCTACAGCAAACCTTGTATATAATAGGAAAGAAGGAACGCTTTCTACCTATGTCCTTTTATTGGAAAACTCAATACAGTAAAGATATGAGTTCTCCTCAGATATACGAGTTTAACAAAATTCTTGTTAAAATCCCAGCAAGATTTGTTTCTGACACATAAATGAGATTACTTTTATATGGGAAGACAAAAAACCAAAAGAGCCAAAAACTTTTTGATAAAGAATAAAACTGGAGGCTGCACAGGCAGGCACAGCCGGCCCACACAAGAAGTATGAGCCACACCAGCAGTGCCTGACCTTGTACAAGAGCAGCTCAACACAGGTCACAGACTCAAATACAAAGTGGAAAAGCGGAAAGCTATTTTTGGCAATGCTAGGAATCAAATCAGCACCCTGTACAATGCTAGAGATGGCTCTCGCACTGAACTGTACTCTCAGCCTATTATAAACTCTGAAAAAAACCTAAGAAAATTTTGAGATGTAGGGCTTGTCAAAGAGTTAAGAGACTTAATATTAAAAACTTAATTCAGGGCTGGGGATTTAGCTCAGTGGTTCTGCCGCCTGCCTTGAAGCACAAGGTCCCGAGTTCAATCACCAGTACAAAAAAACAAAAAAGCCAGATTTGGTCATACACACCTGTAATCCTAGTACTTGGGAGGCTGAGGCAGGGAGGTTGCAAGTTCTAGAGCAGCCTGGGGCACAAAGACACTGTTCAAAAATATAATTCATGGGCCAGGGATTTAGCTCAGTGGTTCTGACACCTGCCCTGCAAGCACCAGATCCGAAGTTTATCCCCAGTACCAAAATACAAAATAAAATAAAAGTGAAAAGGGTTGTACACGTAAGTCAGGAGTAACACGCAGCTAGATTCAATGCGCTTGTGCAGGAACACACACATACACACACACACACACACACACAAGACAAGATCCTAGTGGATCTAGAATGTATAAAACACTCAAAACACACTGGTAAAAAGCAAACAATCCAATTAGAAAAGTGGATTATCACATGAAGAGACAATTCACCAAAGAGGACATGCAGAAGGCAAATAAGAACGTGAAAAAATGTTCCACACAACATTTAAGGGAAGGCAAATTAAAAATCTGTAAGAACTAAAACAAAATCACCAGATGCTGGAAAGGCATGAAGAGACCACCATGCCAGGAACGTGAATAGCAGAGTGTTTTGGAAAAGAGCCCGGGAGTTTTCTCACAAGCACAGCCTGTAGCTAAGGCCTGGGCCAGCTGCTGCCCTCCCGGACATCTCGGCTGTGGGAAGGGCCAAAGCCTGGGCACGAACATCTACAGCCATTTCATTCCCAACAGCCCCAAACTGGAAACAGCCCAGATACCCTTCACTGTGTAATATTTAAACAAACCCCAGAAGTTTAGGTACAATATTCACATCCAGCCTGAATGTGTATAACATTTCTGAAATGACGACGGTATAGAGGAGAGAACAAGGGATGGTTTCCACGGTCAAGGAGGTCGGGAGGGGACCGGTGTGGTAAAAGGGCCACAGCCCCATGTACCAACGTCGGTGTTGTAGTCGGGATCTCTGTGACAGCTCTGCAAAATGTACTTAGGAGAATCACTGTACTTAGATATGTTTAGGTACTTAGATATACACTTAACTCTTTATTTGGAGAGCAGTGCTGTAAAAAACAGATTCCATATATTTGCTAAACATGTGTGTGTCCTTAACATATGTCTTCCCAAACTTGGGTATTATCAGTACTTTTACAAAGTTTTATGGGTTAGCCAGGAGGGGCGGTGCACGTCTGGGATCCCAGCACTTGGGAGGCTGAGGCAGGAGGACTGTCATGAACTCGAGGTCAGCGTGGGCTACATAGAGAGACCCTGTCTCAAATTTCAAAAAAGTAGGTTTGGGGAAAAGACCCAAATCAGAAATGAACTGCGTAACTAGAGACACCGTGACGAGAAGGTGCTTACTTCCGTCTCTGCTGATCCATCCAGAACTTGCAGCTCTTCTTCACAAAGTCGCAGCCCATCCCGAAGCCCCAGTCCAGCTTCTCAGCCATGCTGTAGTTCGCTCTATACCAGCTGTGGGAAGAATTCAAACAGAATGCTGCATCCCTGTCATTTCAAACTAAGTCTCAAGTGGTGAGGGGAGGTGGTTTACACACATGTGATCCCAGCCCTCTGGAGGCTGAGGCAGGAGGACGGCCATGAGTTCAAGGTCAGCCGGGGCAACAGCCAAAGACCCTGTCTCAAAAATAAAAGTAAATAAATAAATACCAGTCTAGCATATGGGTTACAAATCTCAACATCAAGCAAATCAGGACCTTTAATGGGACTCGAGAGGCCAAGGCCACAGCGAGTGTGAACGAAGCCCCTGCACAAAGAGGGAGCTGCCACGTGGGGTCACTGCGGCAGGGTGGGCAGGCAGGCCCAGGACAAAGGACGTCTGCCCTTGGACGACAAGACACAGTGCACTTCCACTGCGATTTTCAAAAGTGGCAGAGGTTGCAGAGTAGGCCATGGAAGGGAGCTAAATCCCGGGCTGTGCAACACTTTTTAAATGTTCTAATTTCAGAAAAAAGGAAACATTTTGTTTCCTGAAAAGTGCAATCAAAGACAATGAGTCCAGTTTTGTTTTTCTTTTTCTTCTTATTTTTTTTGGTTCTGGGAATTGAATTCAGGGCTTTGCACATGCTGGGCAACTGCGCTGCCACTGAACTACATCCCAGTCTTATTATTTTGAGACAAGACTTTGCTAAGTCACTCAGCTACCCAGGCTGGCCTTGTGTTCTCCTGCCTCAGCCTCCTACATGGCTGGGATTGGAGGTGTGCACTACCACACTAGCTTGTTCTTTTCTTTCTTTTCTTCTTCTTTAGGGACAAAAAGTTTGCAAAAGGTCTAAAGGATTGAAAACAGTTTTTTACCTAGCTGACTGAATCTTGTCCCCTTAGTAAAGAAGAACACACCCTCAAAGAAATGGTAGGAATCATCCCGCCCAGTCCTCTTCCCACAAAATCAAGTAAAAGCAGAAACAGGTAATGTGGTGCCTTCCAAGCTACTGCTTTCAAGAACACACCTCGTGGGGCCAGGGATTTAGCTCAGTGGTGTTGCTGCCGCCTGACAAGCACAGGGTCCCAAGTTCGATCCCCGGTACCAAAAGAGAGTCACTGAGAGCTCAGGAGAGGCGTCAGTGCTCCAACACTGCGTTTGGACGTCAGGACATTAACCGGTGCCTATCCCTGCACACTAGCGGTCAGCTTAGCTGTGCCAACCGGAAGTGCCACTCCGCAGACAAAGCTGGGTAATCAGAATCCTGGATGCCCTGGCTTGGCAGCCCTTGCTAGGTGCTGAGGAGACAGCAGTGAATGCGTAAACTCAGTTCCTGCGCAGTGGGCAGGTGGACAGGAAAAGACCTTCCGTGTGACGAGTGCCAGGAAAGCAAGTGCGAGGCACCCCCAGGACCACGTTAGAGGAGAGCAGCACCCGTCCGCCAGGGACCCACAGGTTTTCCTGAGGAGGGAGCCTTGAGCTGAAACCCACCGAGTGGACGTGAGCTCGCAGGGGGACGGGGCCTTAGAAACAGGTTTCTCAGTAGCCCCAGTGAGGCGTGTGATGGACTTAGTGTGTCTTGGTTAGTATTTCTTTCTCTCAAGAGCAACAGGCTACACAGGACAGCACCGCAGGTATCAGAGTGAGTGTTGCTAGGTTCTCTCCAGAATCACTGCTCGGCGCGTGGTCCTTCCATGTCCTGACCCACGCAGGGCTCCTAACCGCTGTGAGGCATCTGCTCCGGCCCCATTTCACACAGGGAAGGACTAAGTCACAGACCTAAGTGAGCAGGGGGCTATGCTGGGATTTACATATGTAGGGAACTGTGAGTTCAATGTCTGCACATATTTCTTTTTTTGGTACTGGGGATCAAACTCGGGTCCTTGCGCTTGTGAGGCAGGAGGCTGCACTGCTGAGCTAAATCCCCTGGCCCCAAATAATTGCTTTTTTAAATTGAGATTTAGCCATCAGTAACAGTGCACATCTATAATCAAAGAACTCAGGAGGCTGAGGCAGGAGAATGAATGGCTGTGAATTTAAGGCCAGCCTGGGCTACAAAGTGAGTTCAAGGCCAGCCTGAGCTACATAGCAAGACTGTTTCAGCAAAACAAAACATGATGATTTATATCACATTCTCATTGCTTTCTTACCCAGTGTCCTCCATTAACGCCAAAGTGATTCGAGAGAGGACTCGGTTCTGGGTGTGAGAACCCGTCATTGCTTCATTCTGAAAATCACCAACAGACTTTAATTACAAGATGGCTCTAGAATTCCCAGTGATTTCTGTGATTCCTCTGATGTATATTTAAAATATGTCAAGTGAGCAGCAGATAAAACATTTACTTAAAAATGGCCAAATAGGGCCCGGGATTTAGTGCAGTGGTTCTGCCGCTTGCCTTACAAGCGCAAGGACCTGAGTTTGATCCCTGGTATCCCCCCTCAAAAAAAAGGCAAAATAAAAATAAAGCCAGGTGTGGTGGTGCACAACTGTAATCCTAGCACTCAGGAGGCTGAGGCAGGAAGATCACCGTGAGTTTGAGGACAGCTTGGGCTACATACAGGGACTGTCTCAAAACAAAACAAAGACACAATGGTGAAACATAAAATATCTTTAAAATGCCTAGGCTGAAGCTTCAAATGGAATCTCTCTTTTGTCTCAGATGTGCCCATCAGGTACAGTGGCGGCCCAGCAGCACTAGGCAGCTTATGATAAAAATGCAGACAAGACACACGGAACCAGATGTTCTCCCGGGAAAGTGCTACTCTCCAGGCGAAGTGAGAGGTGGACAGGTGCCCAGGTAATGTGAGGCTGCCGGAACAAACTACCTGAATGACACAGAAAATGCTTTCCTGCCTCAAACTGTATGCTCAGGAAAGCACAAGCTAATAACAAAACACATAGTGACAGAACCTGGGATGTGGGATACTCCCATCCACCAGAGCTTTCATCTGTATCATAAACTTTCTACCCACAGGGGAAGCTTTCCCTGCCTCTTAGGGGTGCACATTTCATCTTTAAACAGCTGTAATTATTCTTCAAATGTTGATATTGAACATTGAATAAACATTTCAAGTACTTTAGTCCTCTTCTTTCAGTAATTTGAGAAAGCATGACTATAAGCCCAGCACTTGGGAGGCTGAGGAAGGAGGATCATCAGAAGTTTGAGGCCAGTCAGGGCTACACAGACAATCAGACACCAGCCTGAAGCACAATGTAAGACCTTCATCTCAAAAAAAAAAAAAAAAAAAAAAAAAAAATCACCCCCCACAAACAAAACAAAATAAAAAAACACAAATAATTCAAGAAAGTTGACTTCAGAGCAAGGAAGGAATTACTGAAATCACTGTTCTTAGGTCTTCTACTAAGAAGTATGTAAATTTTCATTTTTGGCCAATCTAAATCATTTTTGGTAAAGAATATTACCCGAGAAAATTCCTGAAGAAAAACAAAGAGGAATTATTTTTCCACAAACAAAACAAAATAAAAAAACACAAATAATTCAAGAAAGTTGACTTCAGAGCAAGGAAGGAATTACTGAAATCACTGTTCTTAGGTCTTCTACTAAGAAGTATGTAAATTTTCATTTTTGGCCAATCTAAATCATTTTTGGTAAAGAATATTACCCGAGAAAATTCCTGAAGAAAAACAAAGAGGAATTATTTTTTTTTTGTACCGGAGATTGAACTTGGGTTGTGCTTGTAAGGCAGGCAGTAGAACCACTGAGCTAAATCCCCAGCCCAATAAAGAGAAATTCTGTTGAGAGGAGTAAGTGCATGTGCACTGTCCAATTTTCTACAAGTGTATGTTACTTTGTGGTCACCTAGATCACAACAGTAAGCACAAGCATTAATCTTTTTTTGGGGGGGTGCTTTTTGAGATGGTCTTACTGTGCAGTTGAGACTGACCTGGAACTCACTAGGTAGCCCAGGCTGGTCTTGAACTCACAGTGATCCTCCTGCCTCAGCCTCCCGAGTGCTGGGATTACAGGCGTGCACCACAACACTGGGCATTTTTTGGTTTTTTGAGTGAGGCTTTCGTTGATTTTTTTTTTTTTTTTGAGACAGCATATCGCTGTATAGTTCAGGTTGGCTTTGAATTTATTATGTGGCCCAGGCTCCTCCTGCCTCAGCTTACCAAGAGCTGCTACTACAGGTATGTGCCACCAAATGTGGCTCTCTTTTCATAATTTACTGCCTTTTGTCACAACGTATGTGTGTTACAACTACCTAATTATCTAAATTCCTAAAAAGAAATAGACATACCCATACATAGACATTTCTGACTTCAGAAATTCCACTTTCAGGGGTTTATTCTTTCTATATAAACAAATGTGACCTTGGTTAACTTCCCAGTCTGCTCCCCTAGAAGTCTAAAAAACATGGACTAGTACCGTGTTACCAGGCAGAGGAACAGAGGTTCTGCCTCCAGGTGGGGCCCTGCTGTGAACACTGGGTGGGGGCCCCAGCCCGGGACTCCCTGTGGCCATTACCAAGGTCACAGTTCCTGTTCAAGATGCGGCCTCCTCCCCCAGGCTGGTCCTTACACCTGTGCTGTGGCCTGGGCACCTGCTCTGAGCTGGAGGGGAGAGGAGCCCAGACCATAGCCCAGGGTCTCGGGGTCCAGGCCTGCTTCCTAAGGCCCTGCCAGGGGACCCTCTGCTACACGTGGGCTTTCCTACCTTGTGAGTTTGGGTGTTTAGCTGAACCTAAAAACTTCCGTGGAAACACAGCCCCTGGAAGGCACGGCAGATGTGCACAAAGCTCTGTGATTACATCTGGAAAGTGAGCCAGGCGTGGCGGCGCACACCTGTAATACAGCAGCTGGGAGGCTGAGGCGGGCAATCAGAGGGTCACCATTTCAAGGCCAGCCTGGGCTACACAGTGAGTTCAAGGCCAGCCTAAATCGCTGAGAGCCTGTCTGAAAAAAAAAGGTCCAGGGATTTATCTCAGTGGTGCCGCCACCTGATTCACAAGCGCAAGTTCGATCCTCGGTACAAAGAAACAGACAAGATATATATGGTAAAAAATCTAGAAAGTGGACCTGGAGAGCTAAAAGGGAAAAAGGACTTTAAAATTTTTTAGTTTATAATCTGTTGAATAACTTCACCATGAGTATAATTCACTTTTGTAATAAAAAAGAAGACAAAGGCCTGTAAAATCTAACAATGAACTGACCTCTAATAACCGTTTTTCCCAGTGATTGAGCTCCGTGCCCAGGCCGCCTTGATTCTCAAGCTCCATTCCTTCCAGAAGTGAACAATTAAAATGTTTTCGTGCTTCGTCCTTAAAAAAAAGTATAAATCCCTCAAAAAATAGGAGAAACTTTTTATCACCTGGATATAATAAATATTAAAGAGAGTTAGGTGTGGTAGCACACACCTGTAATCCCAGCACTTTGGGAGGCTGAGGCAGGAGGATTGCTATGAGTTCGAGGCCACTCTGGGCTACATAGTGAGTTCAGGGGCAACATGAATTACAAAGGTATATCCTGCCTCAAACAAACAAACAAACAAACAAACAAATTTAAAAACTACCACTAAATTACTTTGATAAGAGGGGAGACTTTCCTTTTAAAGTAGGGTTTATAATATAGTTAAATAAAGTATTTGGATGGTGCCACACACCTCTGCTAGGAAATTACTATTTCTAGTGACCTTCCTCTCTCTGGTGACTGTCTCAGTCACAATGGTGACTTATTCACATTTCCTCAGTGTCCCTGCCAGCTTGTGCTGCCCTCGTCCTTGATCACAGCCATCCTGACAAGGGACACGATGTCTCATTTCAGGTTTAATTTTCATTTCTCTAATGATTCGTGATACTGAACATTTTTCTGTATCTGCTGGCCAGTCGTACTTTTTTAAATTGAGAAATGTTGACTCAGAGACCTTGTTTGGTTTTAAATAGCACTGGGATGGAACCCAGCACTACTCTACCACTGGGCTACATGCCCAGCCCTTTCCGCTTGCTTTCTTCAGATGGGGTCTCACTAACTTGCCCAAGTTGGCCACAAACTTGGGATCTTAGTTGAAGATTCCTGCATCCACGGTACATCTGTCAAAGACACTGGGGCTCTCTTTTCTTCTAATGTTATTTATCCCAGCACTCAGGAAGCTGGAAGAGGAGGAGCTCTGTGAGTTCAAGGCCAGCCTGGACTGCACAGTGAGACTCTGCCTCACAAAAAGAAGACAAAACCAAACCAAACGCAACTATCCTCATCTGGTTTGATATCACGTTAATGCTGGTCTTGTGAAAACAATTTGGAAGTATTCCTTCCTCCTCAATTTTCTGGAAAAGTTTGAGAAAGACTGGCATGCTACCACACTGGCTGCTTTTTTTTTTTTTTTTTCTACCAGGGATCGAACTCTGGACTTTGTGCTTGCGAGGCAAGTAGCAGAGCCACTGCGCTAAATCCCCAGCCCCACGAAAACCACTTTTGCTACATAAGTTTTGGCGTATTGTATGTTCATTTTTATCTGCCTCAGGGTACTAAGTTTCCTATCTATCTATCTACCCATGAATCTACCTACTCTGGGGCTAGAACCCACATGTATGTTATGTATGCTATGCAAGCACTCTCAGTACCCTCTAATTTCTTCATTAACCACCTGGTAGTTTAAGAGCGTTTAGGATTTTTTTAAAAGTTCCATGTACTTTTGAAATTTCTGTTGTAATTCCTACTGTCACACCACTGTAGCTGGAAAAGTACTTATTATTTCAATCTTCTTCTTTTTTGTTTTTGGAGACATGGTCTCACGGTGTGGTGCGGGCCGGCCTTGAACTCAAAGCGATCTCTTGTCTCAGCCTCCCCAGTGCTGGGAGGACAGGCGTGAGGCACCACACCGGCAATTTCAATCTTCTTGTTAGGTCTTGTTCTGTGTTCTAACAGGGGATGTGTTCTGGAGAACACGGATTCTGCTGTGTCGGATGCAAAGCTCCATGTGTACTGCATGCTGGTCCACTTGGCCTAAGTGTCACTCAAGTCCCAGGTTTCCTTGTGAGTTTCTGCCTGGGTGACGGTGAAGCGCCCACTGCTTTACATCGTACTATTTCTGGTATGTCTCGGTCCCCTGCCCTGGGCCTATACACCTTTGCGCCTGTTCCGTCCTCTGTTGTTACACAATACCTCACTGTCCCTTTCAACCGTTTCCAATTTAAAATCTGTTTGGTCCAAAGTAAGTGCAGCTACCTCTGCTCTGTCCAAAATAACGTTCATGCTGGTGTAAACTGCTCTTATCATGAAGTGGTCTTTGGAGGAGAAAAGTGAGGTGCTCAATGGAAGATTGCTCATTGGGTTTTCTGCCCTTCAGCTGGTGATTTCCAGGGCTGGGGCATGGCCAGGAGCACAGCGAAAATTCAGAAGGCTGAGAGCTGTGCAGGCAGAGGGTGGGGAGGGGAGGAGAGCTATGTGCAGCGGGTGTGAGGCACCCTGTGATGGCTCCAGGGCCTGTGCACTGGATATTTCTGTACAAACACCAGTCACTGGGGAGATCAAGATGGAAATCAGTGGGTGAAAGCAGGTCACCCTCCAAATGTGATGGGCCTCACCCTACCAGGTGTATGCTGGGAAGGAACAGACGAGCGCCCCAGCAGGAAAGAACTCTGCCTTTGGATCCACCTGCAGTCTCTCCCTGTCAGCAGCCTGCAAAGCCCCGAGCGGCCCCACACATCCTGTTGGTCCTTTTCCTTGGTGACAATACAGAGCCTCCAAGGAACCAATCCCCAACTATGGAAATAGTCCCGGAAATCCTAAGAGACACTGCAACAGAGGCAGGATCACCTCATAGCAATGGCGGCAGGTGGGGAGCAGAGCCAAAGTTCCACGTCTCAGGTCTCTCTCAGGGTGGACTTCAGGGTGGTGCCTTGAGATGACTTCTACTATAGGCTCTGAAACTTCCTAAATTCTTAAACTGTGATGAAGGAGGTTTGTGAGACATGAAGCCACTCAGTGATACTCACCACAACTTGAGGGGTCACGAGGAGATACACAGGGTGACGAACTGTCTTATTATCACGGATGTTCCATGATCGCTCCACTTTGCGAACTACTTTTTCACTCCACTGATACAACCCAAGACTGCAAGTATAGAATAAAAAGTTATTTTTGCAAATTCAATACCACTTTGAAAGTATTTATAAGGTCCAGGGATGTAGTTCAGTGTCACTGCACCTGACTGGCAAACACAAGGCTCTGAGTTTAATCCCTGGCAACAAAAAAAAGTTTTTGTTTTATTTTGTTTTTTGGTACTGGGGATCAAACTTGGGACCTTGTGCATGCGAGGCAGGTGGCAGCACCACTGAGCTAAATCTCTGGCCCCCAAAAAAGTTTTCATGAACATATGAAATTAAGCTGGGCTTCCTGTGAGAACTCCAGCAGGTTTTCGAGAGGAGGCCAAGATCTGATGTCAGCCTGAGGTGTGGGGTCCCAGCACCGCCTCTCAGGACCCGTATGTAGAAGTTCTCCCAGGATTCCTCGAGA